GAAAAAACGAAAGAGCAATGTTTGCGATGATTACCGCGTGTTTGTTTTCTCCCCCGCTTTAGAAGTCACGTCCTGCCAGAAGGCCTCCCATCGTTGTTTCCTTGCTGGACCGGTCACAGCGGTGTCGGTATCAGGAGTAGCCATAGGTGAGTCTACAGGAGTTGAAGGGCCATACGCCTGGGCCTTAGCTGCTTCAATTCGGTCGACTGCACGGATGAGGGACGGTGTCATTGGTACAGCGGCGACGGGTGCTGCAGTGCTCGCGGTGTTCGAGCCGTTCCGCACGAGAAACGGCGGTTTCCAACCCGGCGAGTTACGATGTTCTGTTGTCTGTGTCTTGGAGTTGATTGCATCTTCCTCGTAGTCAGAATACTCCGGTGCACTAGCGTCGTTGGCTTCCAAAGCAACACGCTTGGCGGCGGATACCTTCTCTGAACCTTCTTTTCCGAGGGAGATGCGCCGTGAACCCTCGTTCGACCCATTGGTAAGCGTCGCGCTGCTGGACCGTGTTGAGGTACGACGAGCAGGTGGTGGAGGGGAAGACAATGGATCATCCTCGTCGTCCGAGCTGAGATCATCGGGGTCCACCGCACCAAACTTAACCGCCTCACGTTTGCGGTAGCCGTGGCCCTCCGTGTTGGCCAAGCCGCGTAAGCGAGCGAGAGGACGTTGAGTCTGCTTTCGCAGGAGGCGGGTTGGTTCATCAAAACTAAACGTTTGTTGGATCGTTGGTCGCCCCGGGGAGAAGCCTTGACGGTTGTGTTCGGGAGACATGTGTGGAGAGAGGGTATACTTATCATCCGGAGGGAACAAGATGTCGGGTGCGTTGGATGGTTTTGACCGACGGAGGCAAGGGAGGAGTCGATCCCAGGAACTGTACGAAAGTGGCTGGAAGGTGCCAGCACGATCACGGGCCATGGGAAGCGAGGCAGCGTATTCTGTGAGGTAGGAGTCCCATTCCTGCATCGACTGGGTCAAAGATTTGATTGAAGGTCGGCGACGTGAAAAATACCTCGTCAGGATTGCCCCCGAAATACCTTCTCAGTGCCCAATCTACCGAACATCCAGCTACGAGGATGAGCCAATAGCCAGCGCTAAGAGCTCGTTCGACCCCATCACCCCACCCACTGCCATCCGTTACCCATAAGCGCTCCCAAACGTTCGACCACGGTTGGGCGTGCGCTAACAGAGCAATGGATACGATCAAGCCAAATGCCCCGGTGGCGGAAGCGGCCAGGCGAATGAAATTACGTTGGGTGCGGGAGAAAGGGAGTAGGGTGAAAATGCAGCAGATGGCCACGAGAAGTGCAAGGAAAATACGTCGTGTCATAAGATTGGGATGGATTGTGATGGACAGAGCAAGCGCCAGAGAGGTTCTAAGAGAGGGATGCGATAAGATTGATAACCATGCCGAGAATTTTACGTACCCGCCAGTGATGCCTGCGAGTGCGAGTGCAGCATATTTGAAGAGACCGGAGAAGATGGCGAGAGAGACAGAGGTGAATACCCAGACAGCCAAGAAGGACTTTGGACTGAGAGGAGGGGATGACGATTCATTAGGAAATACTAGCGCAAGAAACGTGGATAAATGGACTGAGGAGATCTCAATGACGTTTGTAGCATCAAATCGGGATGTAGACGAACGTACGCCCGAATGAATAACCGATGGCAAGGCCACCGACGCCACCCTGCAGATAAAGACGAAAGCGTCTCGGATTCTTGGTTAGGCTGAAGGACCCAGGGACATTTAAAGGGTCGCTACGAGGTCGGAAGGAACGAGTGCGGTCGAGCGTAAAGAATGAACCTGCAAATGCAAGGAGAGTGGATAATACGAGAAGTGGAAGAGCGTAAGCGAGACGATAAGATGTCGAGGGTAATAGATCCGTCAATTCAATCGCGGGCATGAGGATGAGGTGATGGTCGCGGGTGTGCTCAAAGAGGGCCACAGAACCGGCCCGGTTATTGTCAAGCTTTTAGAATATGTTACGACTCGGCCGCGGACTGTCTCTCTCTCTCTCTCTGGCTCGCAGGAATTTCTCTTCAAATGTGGCTGCTGCAGGCATCGAGCCACCACTCAAAGGAATTCGCATTCTTGACTTGACCCGTGTTCTCGCTGGCCCAACGGCAACGATGCTCCTAGCCGACCTTGGCGCAGACGTTATAAAAGTAGAGGAAATAAAACGTGGTGATGATACACGTTGAGTATCTCGTCCACTGTGCCCCACATTCGCCAACTATCTTAGCACAGGTTCATGGAACCCACCCGCTGCTCCGCTCTCTGAAACCGCGCCGAAGACTTCTTCCCACCTCCCTCCGGAGTCCGCATACTTTCTCGCGGTGAACAGAAACAAACGTTCCATTACTGTTAACTTTAAAAAACCCGAGGGGCTGGAAATTTTGCGTAAGCTCGTTGCGAGAGCAGACATACTGGTTGAGAACTTTATACCCGGCAAGCTGGATTCCATGGGACTCGGCTATGAGGATTGTAGTGCTATTAATAACAGATTAATTTACGCCTCAATCACCGGTACGTCTATTCTCCGCGTGTTTGCTCGCTCCGTTCATGTTGGTGGTTCCCAGGCTATGGACAAACAGGTCCTTATCGAACAGCGGCGGGTTACGATGTCGTAATTGAGGGTGAAGCAGGGCTTATGCATATGTGAGGAGCACTGCCAACGGCGATGACTGGCCTGAATGGATGATTCCCAGAACAGGGGAACCTGACCGACCACCGTCCAAAGTTGGTGTCGCCGTCACTGACATTTCAACTGGCTTGTACACCCATGGTGCTATCATGGCCGCCCTCATCTCCCGGCAGAAGACAGGGAAGGGTGTTTGGATAGATTGCAATCTATTTGAGTCACAGGTGCGTCTCCTTCGCCGAAGATTCAACAACACATTAACCTTCGAGACTAGATCGCGGGCCTTGCGAACATTGCGTCCAACTATCTCATCTCGGGGAAGGAAGCCCAGAGACACGGCACGGCCCATCCGTCGATCGTTCCTTACCAAGTATTCCCTTGCAAGGATGGATACATTTTAATTGGCGCTGGGAACGACAAGCAGGTATGGTCGGCTCGCCTTTCTACTTACCCCAGCCCAAACACACCCCTCAGTGCAAACCCCTCGCAGTTTAAACTCTTCGCAGATAAAATCCTCGGTCAACCCGAGCTAGGAAGTGATACCAGATTTAGTACGAATGGTGCAAGAGTGGCTAATCGTGAACTACTGGTGAAGATAATCACAGATACACTCATGCAAAGGCCGCTGAGTCATTGGCTGGGGTTATTCGATGGGCTCGGGTAAGTGCGGATTCGGATTCTTACTTGGCTCAGACTAATGTGTTTAAGCGTTCCATATGGCCCTATTAACAATATCCAGCAGACATTCGAGCACCCCCAGGCTATTGCACGTGGTGTTGTTGTAGAAGTTGAAGTACGGACTCCAGTTTACGTCATAATCCCGCCACTCAGTTCTCCCTACAGCATCCGCGTGCTGGAAAAATCAAGTTGGTCGGGCCTGCCGTCACTTATAACGGGAAGAAGATGCCGGTGAACAGACCCCCGCCGTGGCTCTCCGAGCATACTGATGAGGTACGGTCGCATTTATGGTCTACTCAATCGGATAGCTTATGGTGGCAAGCAGGTATTAGGCGAATTGGGGTACGATGTGGAGCGTATCTCACATTTTCGAGAAAACGGAATTGTGTGAGGAGACACTTGGTCAAATTCACGTTGCAGGGAAATCACAGATTGTAGAATCCATCCTTTGACAATCTACCACATGCCTAGTCCCTGCGAAACTCCTTCTCTGCCTCTTCTACCCACCCACCGACTTTCTCCCAGACATCCTTCGCCGTCTCACCCCACTCTACTTTCTTACTCCCGACGCATTCGTCGCACACGCCCCTCTCTTTCCAAGACTGAGACGCGATGCGTGTGAGGGTCTCAAGGGGACGTCCCACGCCACCATCGGCGAGCGCGGGAGTGATTACGTCGCTCATCCAGTAGTCCGCGAGTGCGTCGGTGCACCCCATATGCGATGCAGCACCGACAGTGAATAGAACTGGCGTAAAATCCGCGATAAGTGAGGCAAGCAAGCGATGGCAGATGCGAAGTGTGCGGGGAGTAAGGGCGGGGTGCGGTGCACCCGCACCTGATGTGTCATCGTGACTATTTGGACCAGAGGGATCATACTGGCTCTTTGGGTCAAAGTTGGTCGACGTGGCAACACTGTAAAGCAACGCTTTCTTGGTCTGCGGGAGAAGGAGGATCAATGACGCTGATGCCGCCGCAATGGCGTGCCAATACTACCTCTAAATCAGCGTCGTACTGTAAAGCGAGTTCTAACGCCTCTTCCAGATATTCGACCCGATGTAAGTGCACGAACGGGATAGGCCCACCGGGGAAAAGAGTGGCGAAATCATGCTTTGCCAAGTCAAAGATTGAAGTCAAACCAAGTTGGCGAGGTGATGACACCCGCAACATGCATGCGAGCTGAGGGAACGGGCTCTCACGTCTTAGTAGACTGTAATGGCAGGTTATTAGGTTCACCCACGATGGTGTGTAAGGCGCGACCAGTTTCGAACGCGCTTACGAGTCATGGTACAAGTGCGCCAACAGCGTCTCGAAGTCTTCGACCGAAATGTCCATGTCGCTCGGAATCACTATCACCGGAGTTCCTGCGTGGTCGATGGTCCTCGATAACGCAAGAGCGGCCGGATCCTCAACATCATGTAGCCACAGCGTGAACTTGGATGAATGCCGATCAAGGATCGACTTGTGGACCTTATACACTAAGGGCGCTAAGCTGACAAGGACAGAGCCATCGTAAAACCAGAACCGGTCGCTTCGTTGCGATCGTTGTGATTTGATGCCGTTCATAAGAGTGGGCGACGTCTTGCCACAGTTTGCAAAAAGGTTGGAGATTACACGGCGCAGCGCAATCGGTCAAGCTGCAAGTTTTGGCTGATAGATTCCTTCATTTGGCACTTCTATACGTGCCCCATGGCTGAGTTGGTTACAGCGTCCGACTGTTAGACAGCGGTATCGGAAGGTCGTGAGTTCGAGCCTCACTGGGGCAGTAAAAGCTTTTTTCGGTAATCATACGTACCCTCGTACCTACACAATAAAATTGCCTTTCAACTCAAAAGTGTATCGTTTCCGAATCTTTCCGGTCTCCTCAGCTAGGCCTCCTGCCTACTAATCCCCATCCTACCTCATCGGTGCGTATGCCGAGTTACCCCATCCTTCCAATCCAAGAAGCCACAAAGCCCAAGCCCATAGCTTGAACATGACAAATCTAGCTTCTCACGGGCGTACAGGCGGCAGGGGAGCCACTGTGAATTACTAAGAAGCTATCTTGCTCATCACGAAAGCCGATTACGATTGAACAAGATGACTGATGCTTGGGTGTGTTTTTACCATATCTGGCCAACTGGACAGTTGCGCTGGAAAGCAACTTCCCCTTCGCACCTGCGAAGATTGGCCGTTTCGCGACTTCCGAGTCGTTCCAGCGTGATCGTATCGTTCTCACGCCTTGTTGAGCTGCCGATAGCATGTAACCGTCTGGGGAAGGTTGAATGCCCAGCGATGGGCATGTGACTTGCCTACGCCGACTATTCTGCACGCATTTGCCTTTTCCCATTTCCCTCCCGTTAGTATCCGGGCAGGGAAGACAAGCCTCACCCACTTAATGTGGTAAGTTCCGTGAACTAGTTTGCCCAGCCCTTGTTGGAATTTTAGAAGAAAGCTCCGGAGCGCATCGCACCCACTTATCGCGCCATCACGGGACCGCAAGTTCCACTGGAAAACACTACGAACCCAAGTTCCACATTTCCACATCCATCGAAGTGGGTGGGCTCAGGGGATTCATGAGTCACAATTGGATTTAACGTTCTTTTCACCGGTGGATGCTGTGCGACTGTCAAGTTCTTCACCACCTTGTACGATGGTGCATGATGACTCGAGTTGAAGGTTGTCAAATTGTCTTGACTGAACATGCAGCTTGAACGTTGATTGAGCGCAGCTTCACCCGATCTGTACTATATACCCCACATTATGCAGGTCAGTCGAGCTTTTGATCGCATGTCCCGACGATGCTCCACTCTGGTTCCTCTGGCTCCCGCATCTCTCCGCGTGGTATTTTTGCAATGCTTGGATGCCCCTCACCCTTCCCCATGAGATCTGCGTTCCCCAGCATTGAATTGAAATACACCTCCGTACTACAATCTGGAAAAATCACGTCCAGAACGTCCAGAAGAGTGTAGCCCACGCAACTCCGTGATTGATCCACTTGCGGTAATATTCGAAAGTGGCAAGTTAGCCCCTCTCAATAACATTGGCGAGATGAGATTTCACATGTGAGAGGGGCGCGGGGCGGGGCGAAAAACACGCATCACGGTCGTCTCCGGGGTACAGTGGGGTTGTCCCAATGTTCAGTTCTCACTGTCTCCGCCTCAAGCCCCGCCGCCGCGAGAATAGTTTTTTTGGGGGCGGCTTGTTCGGGTCGTTGCTACCGACGACCCTCGCTTCGTCCCGAGCCGCGTCCGTGTTCTTCTACAGTACTTCTACTTCGCACGCAACGATATCCTACCTAATAAGACCATCCCTTTTCACATCCGGCATCAAAGGGCCTACAGTAATCGTAACCACCGAACACCGAACGTCATCTCAACTTCGTGTTCGTTGTGAAGATGGAAAGGTTGCTGTGGTGATTCTTTGTTCTGTTAATGGTATTTTTATTTTTTTTGCGAGATGCGAACGTCGGCGCGGAACGAGGCGGGTTTGGACCCCCCTTAGTGCGTGCCACCCTCGCCGACACTGGCTTAGTTCCATCTTACCAATTGCGCCCGCAGCACGCAGCCAATGCGCAGGGGGCGCTTACCCTGCATGTGTTTGTTCGGGGGGGTTCGCCAGGATGTCGGCCGCCTATCCGTGCGCGTTGACGCGGAAGTGTGGCGGTCTTCTAGATGGCTTGCCCCAGCCCCCCCCTCTCTCTGTCCGGACTTGTCGGTCTTCTCCCGCAGCACGCGGCACATCGCTTCTGCCCAACCAAAAAAAAAAACAACCAAAATTGGGGTTCAAGGCCGTGCGCCCTAACCCCAACTGTAAGGAACGTGGTGAGGGGACCTGACTCGACTCGAGGTGAGGCTGCGCGGACAGGCCCATCAGAGAGGTTGGCACGGCCTTGTATACCCCCTTTGTCCTGTTCCATCGATCTTTTCAGTGCCCAGAGTGGGCTCCCCGGAGTGGGCTCCCTGCGGTGGCACTGCACGCCACCGTTCTGTGCTCCGGCGTCAGAATAGATCTCCCGATACGAGTGCCTCAGCCGTTCCACAGCGAACCGATGGGCTGCGAATAGCACGCATAATCGGACGTGTGTACACGAATTGTATGTCATCGTCGACAAACGCTGCTGCAATTCGACTTCGCATTCTATAAATCGCTGAAGCGGTTGGGCTCACACATCACTGATCTCATCATAATGGTAAAACAACTTCTTTAGTTCATTGTGTAACAAGTAACGTGAGGTTCGCATCATCGTGCCCTCGATACATTCGTGTAAAACAACTTCTCGGGAGATTCGTAAATATAGAAAAAAAATCGGCTCATCATCAGAAAACGTGATGTCATGAAAAAACGATGTGTGGACTGGAGTGGGGGTTCATCGAAGTGCAATGATAAGTTCAAGTGCGTGTTGCCTTTGAAAGATGAAAGTGGGAGCTAGAGGTGACCATATGTTGGAGACAGCAGAACGTGAACCAGAACCGTGTGTAGTGGGACATGGGTGTGGAAGGCGATACTGTGAAACAAAGGAAAGGGGCCGATTGAACGGGGCATGGCACCCGGGCACAAACAAAGGTGTGGAGGTGGCACCATACCAGCGGCGTCCGTGCCCTGGCGGAGTTGCTGCTCCCAACTAGCATGTACGGCAGTCGATAGCCGTGGTCGAAACCATAGAAGACGATGTCGCATAGACGATGTCATGATGAAGATTATGATGGAGGGGTTGGCGTTACGCGAACTTGCGTCTGATCCTTCTTTGTGCGCGGAAAATGGAGAAGCGAACACTGAGAGTGAATGCTTGCCACTGCCGGCGGAACTGCTGACCGCATGTGGGGCTGGTGAGGGCGATCCCGTCAGTCGGATTTATGAAAGGGAAACGGGATAAAGGATGACTCACGTCCAGTCAGGTACCTCCTGGTGCATTGGCACGTACTGCTCCTGCTTGAGCGCCCGAGGAACGACGTCAGGCTCGTCAACTTCCATCTGAGTAATCTCGTAATGGGGAGAATGACTCCTCGTGCGGCGTTTGTAGCGGATGGGGTTTTGGTGTCGTCGTTCCCCAATGGCCTCCTCGAGAGAACGGCGGGCGTAGGGTAAGGATTTCTCATAGGCGGAGTAGCGTGCACGGCGACGCTCGCGAGGAGAAGCGCTACGGAGGCGAGCGTGTTCGTCAAAGTCTTCGATCTCTACTTCGTTGTCATTGCCGCCGCTCTCCCAAGCGGGACGGCGAGGAGCGGCCACAGCGGGGAAGTGGCGGTAATCTGGATCATGGAGATTTCCATCGGTATCCGCATATACGGAGGTCGGCGAGGATGAGGTCGAGGAGGATAGGTATGTGGGGTCGAGGATGCGAGAGACGTCTGCCACTCTTGGTTGGCGACGGTGAGAAAAGTGGCGCTTGGGAGCGGGAGATGTTGAATGAGATACACGCATCGGGAGATCGTACTGGAAAGTGGGAGACATTTGTGAATATGAACAAGGGCAGGGGAGGGAGAGCGAGTATGAGGGTGAGGGTGGGGACGGGGAAGCTTACGGGACATCGAGATGGAGATTTATAGAGCAAGAAGAGAGGAACAGCTACAGACTACAGGCATCGCTGAGCCGCATTCCCGGTGTTTGTCTCTAATCGGGACCATCTCATCTCGGCGTTTTCTCATCTCTGACTCAACCATCCATCCGCTCTCTCCCACTTCTGGCACTCGCCCCCACCCACATCTATTTACCCTTGCCACCCACCTCCATCCGTGCCCGTGCCCAAATAGAACAGACACTCATCCCGCCTCATCCATCCCGGTCTTTACTATTCACCCCAAGCGCCAATCCCAACGTCTTCTAGCGTACCTTGCTTTCTGGTCCGCCCCACAGCGCCCCGTACACATCGCACCGACGCATCTATTCCCCCCTTTCGGCTATCCCCTCGCCCCAAACTCCGAATCCCCCCCCATTCCAATTACTTGTATCGATGTCGGCCTCGGCACCAAGTGAGTCACATGGGGAAATTTCTCCTTGACCACCACACACATACGACGCCCCTCGGCCTCACCGGCGCTTACTAAGTCATAAAGGTCGCCTATCTTACTAACCCTCCTTACTTCAGCACTGATCCCCCAGAATCTTAATCGTGGACATCGTCTTAGCAATACGCTAACAAGCGATTTGATGGGATGGGGTCCAGCACTCCGCTGCTCTATTGTGGGTGGGTTTTCCATGTCAGATAGTTGGGAGTCTGTCCCCTTGTCTTTGTTTATTTCCAACCCCGAAATACGCATACCTGTCGCAGTCGCACCTCGCTTGCGCAGCTCTTTTCGCAGCCTCTGCTTTTCCATTTAGATAAACTTGATACCTCGCTTCCCGATTCCTGACATCATTCATACTCGTAAGTGATCTTCCCGGAAGGATACCGAGTAATAGACACCCTTTTTTTTTCTTTTCGGGCTCGGGCATTCGGAATATTCGGACCCATAACCCCATCAATGGTGCATTGACGCATCTCTGGCGGAAAACGACCACGTCATAATTATTTATTTAGCCTTGCACGCTTTCTTCGCATTGCATTCCGTACGCCGCCAGTTATTTCTTCTCTTTTCTAGAAAGGCGACGGTAGTACATTCCGCTTTCATGCATAACCTTTGTTCTCCCCAGTGACATGGCACAAAGAACGCTCATGTCGGCCAGAATAATGGCCTTTCAGCCTTTCCTCTTTCCGTTGCACCTTAGGGGTGCCCCCCCTCGATTGTTGCAGGACTGTGCCCGACAACGTGTTGTGAACGAGGCTTGTCAATGCCATGGTCCTGGC